ATGAGGGTTTATGCTAATGTTGGAAGGAAGAGTTCAATCAATGTGAAAGGGTAGAGGGTGAATGAGAAGGGAAGCAAGAAAGAGATTGTTCATGGTCATTTACTATAAAATATTAAGTCTCTTACATTTTGTTAAAAATTCCTTTCCGTTCTTTCATAAACCATTACCCTAGCTAAACGTTACAACCATGAAAAAGGCCTAATGATCCAAGGTAGTGATTGGAGTCTATATTAGTGGAGAGTGGTTTGAAAAGTGAGTCTATGGAGTTTGATTGCACATTTATTTTATTTTCGTACTTTGCCTATGGAAGCTACGCATAAAATCATCTGGGTTTTTGGAGGAATGGTTTGTGAATGATTATAAGAGAGTCAGTAACAAAAATGTAGTTGAAATTCACTTGTTCTTTGCATTTGCGTGTTGTTAATTATTCGATTTGTTCAAGTTGACACAATTTTTGAGACGATTATATGTATGGACACTAACATGTTTGTTTGAGTCTTTAGTTTTGAGTCTATGTGAGGTTAGGTTTGGATGTTTGTGGGTATCATCATTGGAAACCCTCACGAGACTACAACTCGTCCAACTAGGGCCACCTAGGGGTTTAAAGGCTTGTTGCATATGCTAAATGCAACTGTGACAATCTACAGAAGTAATTCAGGATAATTTAGATATAGATTTTATTTTGTCTGTATCTCAAGCTAAAAGGGCTTGTTTTATCGCTTAGCTTGCTAGGGGCTAGCAAGAAGCTGGTTGGGGGTTGTGATAAGAGCTTGAATGTACACATTTAGTTAGAGGTTTATGGGGATTAATTGTGGGAAATTAGGCTTAATTTGATAAAGTTGCTTAATATTTTCATAATTGTCTTTTACGGGGTCACGGGTGTTTTTGAGTGTTTTTCAGGCTACTAGTGCATAAATGTTATATCGGATAAAGAATCATGTTGGCAACGGAATGAGTGACGAGTGGAAACAAACGGATCAAGAATCGAAGTTGAATTGAAGAAGTTATGGAAGTTAAAGTAAAGAGAAGATTCTAGATTACGTTCCAGCTTGAGCATACCTCGGTCTTTTGAGAATATCTTAAGCTGTAGAACTTAGATTAAGACGATTCTTTAACTATTGGAAATCTGACTCAAAGGGCTACATTTCATATGTTTACCACTTCTCCAAATTTTATCGTTATCAAGTTCAAAAATCATCATCTCTGAAGAACAGTGGAATGATATGGGAACAAAAAGAGATTACTGTGCCGCAGCACAGTGCCGCAGCACAGTGCCGCGGCACACTCTGGCCAGTAGCTACTATGCCGCAGCACAGTGCTATGGCACAGTCACGACAATTAAGAATTTGTTATCCGTTTTTAGGTAGGAAAATAGGGTTAAGAGTTATAAACCAAATAGAATATAAAAAAATAAAACCCTAACCCTTATGGGATATAAATAGAAGTCTTTTAGCATTATTTGGGGATTCTTTTGGGGAGAAGAAGAGGAGATAAATCTGCATAGAAGAGAAGTAACAGAAGTTCTAGAGTTTTGATTCACAATATAGAGAAGTTTTTCTTGTTCTTTTCCTTATAAACTCATGATGATTGTTTTAATAAAGATGATTGTTTCTTTCATGTTTATTATGAACTAAATTTATTCTCTAAGGCTAAGATGTAGCCCAATCTCTTGATTATGTATTCATTTTTACTTGTTAATTTTTATTAAGAATTCTTCCTAAGTTTTACTATCATACCTAAAGCTTTTGATTCTTAAGGGCCCAAGAATTGAATGAACTAATGGACTAGGTTAAGATCGAGAGATGACACTTAGTTGGTCTACGGTAGTAAAACTATAAGTTGAGAGAACGCTAGAGATAGGTTACCGCAACTTGTGAGGTTCTGGTAAACTCCATAGAGCGTAATGATCTTCAATTGCTTAAATCTGATTAGAAATAATTCGGGTTAGTAATTAGGAGTTAATTCGATAATTGTTCGAGAGAAATTTATTGGAAAAGAATGGGGTTTGACCTGCAGGAAGAGCTTAATAAAATTAACATAAGAGATCGATACATATAAATAAGAGTTGATGTAAAGCATATGCCCTAGGTCTAGTCATCTTGTGTTTACCCAAAGGTTTATTTTAATTATTCTCTGTTCAGTTCTCTTTTTAATTTCAATTGTTAATTTAGTTTAGATTTTCCTTGATACAATTTGGATTGATCAAATAGCAATAGGATAGTTTAATTGGTTATTGATAATAGTAATTCCCTTAGGTTCGATATCCATATTTATACACTTTATTACTTGTATGATTTCGTACACTTGCGAAAATCTACAACAGTTACAATTTAAAGAATGTGTCTTACAATGTTATTTTCTTATTGTTATTAATGGCTCACAAGAATTATCTTATGGTTTTTACAGTCTTGTATGTTGGCTAAAATGTGAAACTTTTCACCATTTCAAGTTGAAATGGATCACAATTTCTTCGATGAGTTTTAACTTAGGATGCATTTAACGTGGCACTTGTGCTGAACATTGTTGTTAACTTTTTAAGACTTTTAGATTCGGATTTGTTTTTTAAAGATTGGGTTAACATTATTGTTAGGAAAATATATAAAACAACATTGAAAAGTTGTAGTTTGTTTATTTATTTTGTATTTTGACTTTAATTTTAAGCATATTATCATCGATTATGTTTATTTAATTTTTTGTTTTATTGTGTATGGTAATGGTTATTACAATTTAGTTAAAATTTAAATAAATTGTATTTGTGTCAAATAATACTTTAAATGTGTCATAGAGGGATTGAATTTGTCAGTTGTAAACAAGATAAAATTGTCAATTGTTAAATGGGCCAAACTATATTAAACTTGTTTAAAATTGGTCAAATTATTAAAATATGATGAATGGGTCCATACGTTTATGACACGAATAATAAATGGGTGGGGTTAGGGTTGGGATCTTTGGCACTATTAATTAAAGAGTAAACAACATGTTCCCACCCAAGGTTTGACGAAATCCCAAGTTAGTACCACTGATTTTATTTATTCTAGATTCTCACCCTTTAAGTGACGGAAAAAAGTTTGATGTAACGGTAAAGGGGTAAATTGGTCATTTTACATGGGCGATGCACGTTAGCAGACCACCGCCTCTAACAATCCTCCGACGCACATTAGCAGCCGTCGTTCCCGATGTTTTTCGCTCTTTTCCGGAGATTCTTCCACCCAAAATAACCCTTGTCACCACCATCCTCCCCTCTACAAAACCATACCATTCACAACCCCTCATCACTCGCCGATCTCCGGCCACGGCAACGAGAAACGGCCGATGAACACGAACTCTCGGCTGGCGAATGACGATGAAGCGGTTGCTAGGGACATAGGGGTTTTATAGATTTGGGGACGGCGGTTGCATTGGTGGTGTCCAATTGGATTTTCATCGCCGAAATTGATCGGAATCCGGTGAAGAACACCAAAACCCTAAGCCTAACGGTGCCGGCGTTGGAGGGGCAAATGAGTCGGGAACCAGAGGGGTTTTGGACGACGGACTACGGGGAATGTGATGGAGGTGACCAGGGGGTTCAGCGTCGTCAGAAACAGCCCAGATCGGGCTGTTTCTGGCGAGGGTGTATAGTGACCGAGGGTGTTTTTGATATAATTTGAAAATAAAATGGTAAGTTTTGTAATTCTACTAATTTAGGGGTTAAAAATAATTTATTAATTTAAGGTTAAAGGCATTATGGTAATTGCACCCTCTAAACCCTAAATGAAACCAGTGGTACTAACTTGGGATTTCATCAAACCTTGGGTGGGAATATGTTGTTTACTCTTAATTAAATGGGTCAAGTGAAGATTGAGACATATTTGACACAACACGCCACCCGATTTGCCTCCCTTACCGTTTAAGTTTTATGCTAATTAATGAAGAGTAATACTATACTTACATTATCATATTATTCCTTATCATTTAATATGTATTTATTAAATTGATTTTTTATAGTAATTCATCTAATCATAATCTAACAAATCACTTTACTGAAAAAACTCTGTATAAAAGTTTTATAAGTATAATATTATTCATTAATGAATCATTGCCCTCATCACCTAAGGAAGATCAATGGGAACCTAAAGAGATCATAGGGGAAAAAGATGGTCATCGATATGAATCGTCATTGCTAGTCATGGGAATAAAGTGATGATATCCAGTAGGGGAAATAAGGTTCTCATTGCCCATGCGGGTAATGAGGTGCTCATGGCCAAGATGCAACAAAGGCTCAGCGCTAAAAAGGGTAACAATTAGGTACTCATCACCTGTGGCCTATGGGGTAATAAAGTGGTCATTATAGAGGAAATAAGGTGCTCATCAGTCATCACCATAAGGCCAACAACGTGGGATAATAAGGTGTTGATTGCAACTAGAGGTGTTAGGGTGGTCCAATAAGAAAGGTTCATCACCAAGAGGACTTATGGCCTAATTAAGGACAGTCATCACCTAAGATGGCCAACCCACCCATCGCCTAAAGGTTAATGACAATAACAAAAATTTTGGAAGTTGTATTGCATAGTGAAAGAATTACAAGCCTAGACATTTTTACTCCTCTAAACAGCAATAAAATTCTTTGTCTAATTTAATTTAATTTTTTATTAATTTGGGTCATCATAAATTTTGGGTTTGTTTGTTTAATTATTTTTATACTATCCTATCCCTATCCTACTCAAATTAATATCCGCTTTGAATAGGTTGGATTTTAATATTTGTTCTGTTTCATTCAATGTATAAACAACTAAATTATTTACTTATATGTTGACTTGTTCTCAACCTAATGCTAAAAAAGTCTTTCTGTAATCTTCTCCTTGTATGTGTTTCCATGGTCATATTCATCTATGCTCCTAGTCCTCGTAATTCTCACATGCATTTTTTATTTATTAGATAGCGACAATTAAAATGGTGAAATTTCTTATGCTACCTTATGTTCAAGTTACATGAACTCTGCTACGCCATTTTCACTTTATCACAAAGCTGGAATTACAATGGAGAAACACTTACTGATCTTCCTATTTTTATTCACTTCTAGCATCCTCCGTGGATATCTTGCTCTTACTGCCGGAACCGAAGACGGGTCTGAACAATGGGGATATGTTGAAGTTCGTCCGAGTATGCCAATATTTGCTAACACTTTCTTCAATGTTTCTACTTATAAATACTGTTCTCGCTGCTGTTACTGCTTTTTTTAAGGCTTCTATAATTACTTTTGCAATGCAGAGGTTCACCTCTTTTGGTGGCTTTATAAGAGTCCATACAGAGTTGAAGATCCATACAAGCCGTGGCCGATACTACTATGGCTCCAAGGAGGCCCTGTGAGTAGAATTAATTGACATGAAACATGTGTTTATATTTGTTTAATATAATCTGATTTCCGATATCTCAATTCAGGGCGCCTCAGGTGTTGGATTTGGAAATTTCATGGAAATAGGACCTTTGGATGGCAATTTGCAGCCCCGAAATTATACATGGCTCAAGAAAGCTGATCTTTTATTTGTGGTAACCAAACTCATTTTTAAAATTGAACACTTTTTAAATGAAAGAATTGTATTTGGATTCTAAATCAAACAGGTTCAATTCTGTTTTTCTTGGTGAATGAAAATTGATTTGACTGCAGCAAGTTGAGTCAATCTCTATCTTATTCGAATGATGTTCAGGATAATCCAGTGGGAGCAGGTTTTAGTTACATGGAAGACGAGAACTTGGTGGCGCGAACTGATGAGCAGGCAGCCACTGACTTGACTAACTTGTTTAAGGAGGTTTTCAATGGAAATGAAGCCCTCCAGAAAAGTCCTCTGTACATTTTTGCAGAGTCATATGGAGGAAAATATGCAGTTACTGTTGGGGTATCAGCTTTAAGAGCCATTGAAGCCAGAGAATTGAAGCTTCTACTTGCAGGTAACATTGAGTTGCTATTTAATTAGCACCATCTGACATTACATAACATTTTAAAGTAGTAATTATCTTCTTGTTTTTACAGGAGTTGCATTGGGAGATAGCTGGATTTCTCCTGAAGACTTTGTAGTATGTTAAAATCTTTCTTGCGTCTAAAATTGAGTAGAATTTCCAATGACTAATGCTTATTACACCAATGGATAAATGCAGGCCCAATATGCACCACTTCTCAAAGACCTGTCGCGAATGAACGACAAGGGCTTGAATGAATCAAACAGGTTCAGGATTTTTGTTTTTTGTTGCGAACTAATGTCAATAAAAGGTGACGCTGAACGAATTTAATGTAACCAATTTTGCAAGAACAGTTTCGTTTTAAAAATTAAGCAGCAGCTTGCGGAAGGCAAATATGAGAATGCAACATATACATGGTTTGATCTGAACGAGGTTATTTCAAACTACAGTAACAATGTGGTATGTTTTCGTCTCTCAAAACAATGCACACCAGCTCATAAGTACACAAAATTTTACAGATTTTTTAGTGACAAAATGTTATTTGGACTTACAGAACTTCTATGACTTCTTACTTGATGATTCAACTGACCCCATTATGGGAACAACAACAGAGGAAAACAAAGGACTTGGAATTGATATACATTCCAAATATCACAGCACCAAGAAATTTTCAACAGCTGATGCTGGAGCTCAGCCTGTTGACCTCGACAAATTGATGAATGGACCTATCAAAAAGAAGTTGAAGATTATTCCTGAAAATGTAACGTAAGTATTATCAGCATGTACTACCAGTTTCTTCAAATAAACTTCGATGATTCTGTAACTTATATATCCATCACTGTATTGCAGATGGGGAGGTCAAGGTGGTTTAGTTTATGAAGGCCTGATTGGTGAAATAATGAAACCAAGAATCAAAGAGGTGGATGAGCTTTTAGCCAAGGGCGTTAATGTGACAGTATACAATGGACAGGTAAGTGTTTTATGTTTAGATCATAAACATTGATTTATTTTAATTTAACAATATTGAAAATTGATATGTTATGGCTGGTATTTATGATAGGTTGATCTGATATGCTCAACCAAAGGAGCAGAAGCCTGGATTCAAAAGCTAGAGTATAACCCTTAATTAAAAAATAAGATTGTGATTTACTTGAGTTGGTTTTGTTGTTTAATTTGATTCTACATTAATTTCAGGTGGGGTGGGAGTGGGATGAAAGATTTTTTAAGCTTGGAACGAACTCCATTATACTGTGGAAGTGATACTTCAACCACCAAAGGATTTGTTGCTTCATACACTAATTTCCCCTTCTACTGGATTCTTGGAGCTGGCCACTATGTAAGTAGAGTATTAATTTATTTTATCTACAACTCTATAATTCCAGTAACAATTATAATTTCCCCCTGCAGGTTCCAGTACAGCAGCCCTGTGTTTCTCTAGAAATGGTTGGGAACGTTACTCGCTCGCCAATTTAGTCACAGTATTGAACTTTTGTGTTCATTAGAAATAATGTCTCTCTCCAGAAACGGAATTATCAATTATATAAATATTTAATAACTGAGATGACAAGGTTTGTTTTCTTGTTCATATGTTGAGTAAAGAATTTTTTTTAGGAAATATAATTACTACTATATATTAATTAAAAAAAAATGATATCCTTACAACAAAATGACATCATTCAGAAAAAAAAACGGAAAAAGAGAAAGAGAGAGAGAGAAATCATGAAAATTAAGGATAAAAATTGTCTTTGTATACTCTTTTTATATGTGTCTTTGTAAAATTAATATTGTTCATTAATTAAATGGGTGAGGTTTCTTAAATAAACTTTCCTATATTTTATTTATTTAATCATATACTATCAAAATTTACGTTTTTAATGGATTTTTAACAATAATTAAAATAATGTCTAGTCAGTTTACACACAAAATTTTACATTGGAGTCTGGAGATGTAGTATTATTTGTTTGTTTCTAAATTTTTGTGAGCTAAAATTTTCAATATATTAATATGATATTAAAATAGTTTATTAATAGTTGACAAAATGGTTTAACTATAAAGCGCCTCCAATTCAATTACCTTGCATCTTCTGTGATGCTTCTTCTCTATAAGCACGCGTGCCTTCACCCATTGAAAACCGACCACGTGCATTTTATGAAACAAAGAAGAAAGGAAACCGTCCTCCGAGCGCAAACAGAAAAGCGGAAGTAAAGTTACATTTGTTCCAAAAATTTCTGGTCCAAGAAGTTTAGAAACAAAAGTTGTGGTCCAGGAAGTTTAAAAAGAATCATTGAAGTCCTTAAATCAACTCCCTCAAGCTTCAACTGTTGTTATACACTTATATGCTCAACCTATTGAATATACATTGTTACCCCCTCAAAAACTAGTAATATAAATTATTTTTGTCCCTCTTCTCAAGATATGTTCTTTTATTGGATTCATACTATTTTAAAATCGTCTCATGTTAATTCAAATTTTGAGTATAATTTTGTTATTTAACAAAATACATTTCCTATAGAATCAAATATATCAATTATCATTATGTCATTATCTATACGATGATTCTCTTTGATCAAATCAAAATTTTTAACTTCATTTTTATTTGCTTTAAATATTTGATCTCTTACCTTGATGATCTATCCTTATGTTTTTTGTGATGAAGAATAGAATAGTAATATAGTATGATACGAATATTCTTATCCATTTACAAATTGACCCCGTTAAATTATCAATTGGGTTGGAAATTGATTTTACTATTTTAGGGACTTTAGTGATAAATTTCAAAACTTATTAGACCCAAAAAACTGTAGTCTTTGGGGGAAAACTACTTCGATGAAATTACTCCGAACGTAATCGGACACGCATCAAAACCATAATACATTTCTTCTTCTAACAAAATTTAAAAATAAAAATAAAAAACCGAGACAGAGAGTCGGCAACTCGCGATCCAACCCTTCGTGTTATCACTCATAATTTTAGGGTTTCTGCGATTCGCTTGATCAAATAATCGGCCAATCACGATCGCCTTTGAGCTATGTTCAAGTTCTGGTATTTCTTCTTTAATTTCGTTCGTTTTCGTCTATTTATTAGGTTTTGTTTTTCGATAATCGGTTCATTCACTTTGTTATATACAAAAATTTCGATTTCTAGTGCTCCACTTTGATGCTATGGCTTTAATTTCAATTGCTTTAGGAATTTTACTCCTATCTCCGATTGTAAACATCAACAGATATGTTCTTATAATTATTTGTCCGTGTGTGAGTGTTTTTTTTTTTTTTTTAATTTACTGTTTTGTTAAATTTGGATAGTTTGAGTTAATATGTTATTGATACATGTAAAACGAAATTTGGAATGTCCTGCGGTTTATTTATTTAAAGATTATTATTGTGGACAACTAAGTGTTTCTGTTACTGGCATTTAAGGACTTGTGAGATAGTTGTATTGGAAATTGTGACAACGGATAGTCGAATTGTGAAGCTGTTCTATCAAATGGTGTATCTGACATTGAATTCGGGTGTCTTAAAGTTTGCTTTTGTTGCAAAAGCATAATCTAGTACCAGTTGCTGCTATTGATTTTTTTATTATGACATGAATTTTGAGCCTTGCTTTGTATGGCTATGTGTTTTTTTATATATTTACTGAGCCTTTTACTGGAGTTGGAATGCAGGAATATTAGATCTTTTCGAGAATCATAAGTCACTTTCATGTCTTACTAGTTCAGAGACTGACCCAAGATATTTCATGGAATTGAACATCGAGAAAGTTGTTTACTGAAACTTGATTATGTGTAGTACTATCTTGTGTGTTCTAATTTTTATGCCATGCTCATACATTGATATCTAAAGTTTATGTGGTATTTATGCAGAAGTTAAATTTCTTTTGCTGGCTTTGAAATGTCGATTTTGTGTTCATAACTTCTCTAAAGATGTTTCTGCAGATAATTTATTTATCAAGGATGAATCAGAGTTGAGATGTTTGTTTGTTTGAATTCAGATAATTCAGATCTTTTGCATTACATATATAGCTTTGGACTGAACATGTCTGCTTACAGGGGTTCACAGGAGCAACAAGCTCAACCACGTCCACAAGATGGTTCTCCACAGTCTTGGTACCCTCCATCTGTAGTCTCCCCAAGTTCTTCCCGCCCTTCAACATCTAGTCTCAGCTCTTCTGGCAGTTTCAATCCAACAAGGCCTGCAGAGCGGCCACAGTCCCCGTCACATGTTTCGCCGGCTGAAGCTGCCAGCATTATTGCTCTCTTGAAGGACAAAAGGTGAGGCATCTGATTTCTTTAACTTCTTAAGCTCATTATATTGGTAGTGCATTGGAATTTTTCCCTTTTCCTCTCAATGAAAATTGTTTGTCGTGGGAAAGTACTGATGAACCCTATGATTGTTAACTAAATATTTTTTTATTGTTAATTATTTAGAACTTTCTTTTTGGTTTACAATTTGAGTAAGGGAAGTCATGATTGCATTTTGCGTCTTATTTTCCTTTACTTGATATCAGAAATGAAAGTAAAAGTATTTAATACATAGTCAAAATGTAAGGAACAAAGTGCGGGAAACTAAACCATTGTGACAATAGGGATATACCTATGAAGTATTTTCCAGTGTATGTTGCTTAATTTCATTGTTCAGTCTTGCCTATTCATGGAAGTGATTTTGAAGATACTTGCTATACATTGGACTCTATTGAACATTTGCCTTGCAAATAAATTTAGAAATTTCTCAATGTGGAAAAGACCATCAAATTATCTATCTTATTCATGCTATGTTTATCATCTGCTTCTGATCATGTTGACCTATGCATGTGCACATTTTTCTTTCTACGTGTATTTGTGACTGTTCTTGTTTCAGAGATGTTATTTTATGCTGTTGTAGTCTCTTTAAAATATTTATTTGCTGAAGTCTTGACTGTCATTTTCATGATTTTATTTAAAATTTTATTTGTATGATGATTTTCTGTGTTCTTCGGATGATTCAAGAAAAATTTTTAGATGCTTGTAGTGCTCGACTTATTGATATAGAAAATTTTTCATTTAAATTCATAACTGCCTTCTCTAATGAGTTTCTTGTTTTTGGTTAAAATTTATTTTAGCATTGATGAGTTACGGAGGCTTTTGTCTGACAAGGATGCCTACCACCAATTTTTACTTGCAATTGATCAAGTAAAAATTCAAAACAAAGTGAGTTGCAGATTTTGCTCTTCTTTATTCCATGGGAGTTTCTGAGCTAATAATTTAAACATATTGCTTTCTTATCTTTGCTCTATGTGTGCAAAAGATTCTATCTTCTCTTTACTTATCTCTGAAAGAGTAATTGTTTGGCCATGATAGGTTGATAAGTATTTGGTTTTATAGTAAGATAGAAAGACCTGACCGCTATTTGTCACTACTTTGACATCATGATATTGTGGCAAGGCTCTATAGATGAGTTGCTGATGCATGTCACGTTATCACTGGCATTCCATGAACGACGCATCAAGGTGTAGGAGAAATTAGGACTTCAGGCTTTTGAATTTATTTTTTTAAACCATCTGCGCATCAATTTGACCACTAGTTTCTTTCTATTTTATATGACTATCAACTCTTGAAAATAAAATTCCAGAAAAGTGAGCTCTATTCACTTGAAAATTAATATTCTAGAAAAGTGAGCCTTCTTATTTCTTTGTTTTTAAGAATTTGATATGGCACAGACAATAAAATTGCATGCACTGTGCTATTTGTACTAGTATAGTTAAGTTTAAGTAGCCAGAGCTGTGAGTCCATCGTTTATGGTGGCAATTTTTTGACTAACTAATAAAATGCTGAATAGGTATAGATATGTATAAAAAAGCATGGAATGCCAAGATCAGCTTCCATATCGTACTAGTCTTGTGATTGCATGCCTTAATGTATACACTCATACACATAACAGTCATGTGCTCACTCATTTGTCATATCAAAAAGATGCTTGTCGTGGTTTCCATTCTAACATCATCACACATGATCTGCTATGTCCGTTTTTCTTATTTGTTGCAAAACAGATAGGGTACTAGTGATGGGGTGTTTTTTTCCCCAATATATCTCATTTTGTCGTTGGCTTGGGTCTGACAAGCTTTTCCTGTTTCTAACCATTTATTGTGGGTTGTTGTTTTCTTCGTAATTATATCAGATAAGGGATGAACTACAGATGGAAACATTGCAGCTTGCTAGTGAGTTATTACTTCCTTTTTTCTTTTTCTTTTTTTCTGTAAATATATCAATTTAGTGTTGGATGTAATGGTATAAATCCGCTGGCAATTTCTAAATTTTTATTTTATTAAATCAGGGGAGAACTTAGAGAAGGAACCACGCATCATGGAGCTTAAAAATCAAGTGAGACACTGAGCCATCATTCATACTCTTGTTGATTGATTTATTTATTAATATTATTTTTTCTTTTTTCTTTTTTTGGGTATGACAATAGTAACTTTTTCCTCCTTTTTTGTGGTTACAGAGCAGAATTATCCGGACAACAGAATTGGCTGCTGCTCAGGAGAAATTGCATGAACTCGAGAAACAGAAAGAAGAGCTTTTGAAGTTCTACTCCCCTGGATCCCTTCTCCACAGGCTTCAAGGTGATAAGACGAATAAATTAATAATTCCTCTTGAATGCTAGATGCATGGATGGAACGGAACATTATGAAGATGATTTAAACTTTTATTTTTTTTGCAGAAGCAATGGATAAGACGGAGGAGGAATCTGAGATGCTGCACGCTCAGCTCCTCAATAAAGAAATAGATACCAGCGCTTTTGTGCAAAAGTACAAGAAGCTTCGGACAACTTACCACCGGCGAGCCCTTGTCCATCTTGCAGCTAAAACATCCTCTTTTGGTTGACCTGTGGAAAGAGTTGACTATCTAATATATACATAAATACCGAGAATGCAGTTTGTTTCATTGTATGAAATCCAACTATTAGATATAGTTTATTTTTCTACTTGTATCATTTCGTGAAACCTTTGTGATATAGTCTCTTTTTTCTTTGGTTTTCAAAATGTCTGCCTAATTTATAAGGTGGCTTTGTTCATGTTATCATGTTATTTTGTATTGAAATAAAAATTAATTCTTCACGCCATCTTTTTTATAATGTGTAATGTGTAAGAAACTACAGCCACCTATAAAATGCCATCATGTTATATGGGTGTTTCCACCTACCGGTAGAACCTGGAATGCTCAACATTAAGTCGAACCCAAGAACTTAATTTTGAACTTCGTTCTCTGTTCTTACCAGTCGATTTCCAGTACTTTGTTTAACTAAATGAAACTGAAATCACAATAACATTCTATTCAAAGCAAGTATGTAATCCATTAAAACTGATCAGCACACTGTCACTTCCATACTTAAAAATGTGTAAGAAATTACAGCCACCTATATCTTCCTGTAGTTCACCATTTTTCTACAACTATTATAATATCTTCCTTAAACAAAAGTTACAAAACCAGATAGAGAGATCACTGTGTTTTACAACAATTTAATCTATATTGCTAATATAGAAGGAAAAAAAATGCCTCCGTAAAATGAATATAATCATTCCTCCAAGCGAGCTAGTTCTTTCTCCCACTTCAGACCAAACATCTGCCGACCAAAGGGAACGATTAGGTTATACCTGAAAACCTGCAGTTCATATATTTTTATGTTAACACTTGTCAAAGTCATAACAATTTTTTATAACACAATCTCATGGTCTAACTCACCCATGAAATTAAGAGGAAATATGATCAAGCATAACTTTGAAATTAATTAGAACCCTTCCTTTAAAAACACGAAAACCATCATAAATCTTCTTTAAGAAGGATTTAAAAAAAAAAAAAAAAAAAAAAAAAAAACCTACTCAGCCTAAAGTTTCTTAATAATTTCTATCTGGAAGTTCATGCTTATTTTCCAAACAAAGATGAGTCAGCTTGTATTAAACGAAACCTGATATAACAGAGATTTATCCTCAAGGGAAAATCATTAACAAAACAAAGTTATATGCGACATCACATATGCTTTGCAACCCACCTTATCATTGATATCACGCAATTGCCTTTGCAATGCCTCAGCTGACTCTGCCCATCGGGTGTGATCACCATTGCCCTTAATTGCCCATGCTTTCTTGAGGGCTACTCGCCATGCAGATACTAGACTCCTTATTTCCTTGTTAAGTTCAACCCACTCCGGTGCACATCCATTTTTAGAGAGGATTCGATACAAGGTATCCTCTGCCGGGTCTGCATGAGGATTGCTTCCAAGATTAAGTGGTTTACCTTTTCCTGGTAAGTTCTCGAACTGCCCTTCTTCCATAGAATGCCATATTCTTTGCTCCACAACATTTATTATATCTGTTTCTGATCTGTCCCATTAACAACCCATCACTATATATCATAACCAAACCACATAGGATTTAAGAACAAAAAATGCTTACAATAACTAAAGCTTGTTATTTTTTCCCTACTTCATAGAATCTGACTAAGATAAACAAAATGATTTTCAGACTGAAAACAACATTTCAATACTTTCCAGAAAACATCAAAAATTTCTTTAAAAGAAAGGCTCTCAGATGAATTTTCAGAAAGCACTTCTATTTAAAACTGTCTTGAGGTGCTTACAAATAAAATGCCTTTATTCAAATTTCAAAAGCTTCTAGAAGACACTTGTATTATTTGAATTTCAGGTACTTTTGCAAACTACAGTTCTACTAGATTTTCAGCTTCTTTCAATAATGGATTCCATCCGAATTCAAAAGCCTTTTCAGTGAAGCTCATACTCTTATCAATACAATATTTTTTCCACAACAAACTAGCAAAGCATTAGTAATCACACAATGTTTCGATAAAGCAAAACGATACTTCAGTAGTATTCAATATATTATTAACTAGTTCTTCTGTGACATGTTACAGTAGCAATTCCCCTTCAATACTTTCAAGCTTTTCCGGTTCTCATACCGGTTGATAGAGAAACATATAAAATAACAAAATGAGTCACCAAATAGCACTTCCAATCGAATTTCTCTTGTGGTTTCATCTGATTTCAAAGCTTTAGTAAAATTATTTTTCATTCAAATAAATTACAACTACATATACAGAAATCAATTTCAGAAATGAAACTCACACATTCAAATTCAAATTCAGCACACTATTAAAATAAATATATATTAACTCAAACGGACCGGACGGAGTTACGCTGGCCACGGAGTTCAGGAGGGAGTTTACGGTCATTGACGGCGTCTATTACCCCTGACAGACGTTCACTCATCTTCGAATTCTCCGTCTTAGACGATGAAGAGGACGCCCACCTTCCATGCCGACTCCAGATCTCAGCCGTTGACCTTCGAGTTATCGATGACGAAACTGCTCTCGCCAGCCGACTCGACATGGCTCACCCCGAGCTTCAACTCTGGAAGGTTTCTTCATGAATGTGGTCTGGCTGCTTCAATCTTCTCGCACTCGCTAACTTGGACACGTGTTGTAGAAATATGTTACCACGTGGCAAGTGGAGGTTCATTTGTTGGACGGATACATGCAGTTATGAGTTAACTGAGTTAGCAATTTTTTATTTATTGAATAATATCCCGTTTTCCAATTTTTCTTCGATAATATTACACTCAGTATGTTTTTATACAAATTATGATTAAATAAAAGTTTATTTTAAATTTAAAATCACTTAACTATCTTTTATCACGTAAATTTATAAGAGAAAATTTATATAAAAAGATTATATAATATTTCTTATTTTTCTTCCTAGTAAGAGCTAGATAAGTATTTTTATATATTTTTTTTTTTTTACAAAACAAAATATTTACAAAGAAGAAGAGAGAAATTTCAAATAAAAAATTATAATTCAACATTTTTATCATAAAATTTTAAATAAAAATAATATTAAAATAATAATTTTAGACAAACACTTACCAGTCAAACAAATAAATGATAATATTGAGTTGAGGGCAAGGTTGGACACTCCTGTTAAAAAAATAAATAAATGGATGGTAATCACTACAACATTAATGTTTTATCTTATGTAAGTGATAAATTTCTTTTTTAGTTTTATTTTAGATTTTTAAGATAATAATTTTGGACAAACATGTTAACGGTATTTTCATTTCATACCATTTTTTAATCATTTTTAATATTAAAAAAAATTCTCAAAATTATAATAAAAAAAAAAAACACCCTAATTTCTCAAGGTTATACCATAATAAAACTGGAAAATCTTATAATATACAGCATCAACTTTCAGAATGATAAGAAACAAAAACATGTAAAAGGAGAAAAATAATCCCAAGAAAACTAGTAATTGTTTCCTTCGGGTTCATCATCAGCTTCATCGTCTGGTTTTTCACACATAGGAGAAGTAAAATAAAAGGGTTGCATCGTATAAGTAACAATGTCTCTATAAATGGAGGAGGGTTGCATGAGTTTGACTCCTGACTTTCCGCCATTGAAGTCTGTGAATATGTTGCAGGTGGGGTGGGGCGATGACACCAATCTCACCCAGCAAAATTCTGTCTTCAGCTCCTTATTTTTGTAAGTGTATTTATCCACACTCATTTCGAATTGCCCTTCTTCATCAGTCTCATCGCTTCTGTAATACATCACTCTGCTTCTCTTATCCATGCATGTCAGGGATACCTTAGCACCTGCAATTCACGGAATCAGCTTTTAAGCCTAATTTATAACTTTCATATACGCAAACATTCGCACTGTATATGTAGAAGATAATTATATTACCTTTGAGGTGATTGGCGTCGTTAACCCATTCGGTGTAGCCCTTGGAGCAGTCCTGGCACAATACTTTACCACTTATTTTTATAACCCCGCCTGTGTTTTCTCCATAGCTATCATAACCCACTGCAAAATTTGTGCATACCATAAAAAATGCTGTTGCTATTAGCACAACCTTCGCCACCGTGCCTGACATCTCTTTCTTCTTCTTATGATTTACAATTCAATACTTTCTCTGAAAATTCAAAGACTGCTTCTTTATATATAAAACCAACAATTCATCAAATAATGGGTGGCAGGGCACTACTTAGACGTGCAAACCATTCTCAATTTTTTTTAAGTCTCAGAATATGCTGTGAGTTGACTATTTGTTACAACTTATTCTGTGCTCCTAATAATATTTGTTTACTCCAGACAAACCCATCAAAAATCTTCTTGATTAATTAATTTGTACATGGTTTCTCCAATCGTATATTATGATATAATATAAGAGTAATGCTATACTTACAAAAATCTTACAAAAATCTCTATACAAAGTGAGTTTGATTTTTGTTTCATTCTTCTATTTATTTTTTGTCACCTCACTTTGTATGAAAATCTTTGTAATATTTCTTATATAGAGTATATTATATAATATCCTTAAGAATACAACTTCATGCACTAATATTATACCCTAAAAGAGAAAAATTACGGCAAATTTGCAGAACTGGGAATAGTATTCTTTTCTGTTTTGATTATGCTACAACCAACAACAATTTTGTTTTTCTGCGGGCTTAATTGGTTACAATAATTACTTTCTCCTTATCACAAATACATGTACATAGATTTAATTTTAATATGCATTGTAATAATTTGCTCATCAATATAGATTTTATTTTGTTAATTTTTAAGAAAAAAAAACAATTAATGTGTTTTGAAGCCAACTTAAAAAAAAAAAAAAAAAAAAAAAAAAAAAAAAAAAAAAAAACAGATCTTCTAGTTAGAAGGTTAATCTTGGAATTAACATAAATATATTTGGATAGGGGCTAATAAATATCTGATTGGGTGCATGTGCATATAGTAGTGTTCATGATGTAAACCAAATTGAGCAGCTATGATGCCTTCCAAATTTATGAACCGTTAAAACGGATAGTGATTTTTAGTCCCCACTTTTTTTTATCACTAGCCTCTACTTTTTAATTTTTTTTATTTTATTTTGATAAATTTAACCTTAAATAAAATTATTATTGAGGATAATATAAATTCTAAGTACACTCATATTTCATTTTGTAATTTCCTTGTATTTATTCCTTCCTATAACATTTAAAACTCATAGTTTATCTTTTTAAATTGCTTTAAGAAAAACATAAAAAGGTAATCGTTTTTCACTTCTCCATCGTATTTAATTTTTTCATTAAATGCAAATAATACTTTTCGTATCCTCGTCTTTCTTTTTTCTTCAGAGTGATCCACTTCAAATATGTTTGCTCTTCTTGAACTTGAAGTTATAATCTAATCCAATTTAAAAAAAAATAATAATAAAAAAAAAAAGACAAAACTATCAATTTAACAAATTATCTCACTTAGGGTGAAGTTTCTTGGAGTAATTGAAGTTCTTTTAGGAATAATATCTTTGTGCATAGAGAAAATATAGAAAATCTATTGAACCCTTGTGTGTTTTGATGTGCCAAAACTAGTAAAATAATTGTATAAGTGATAAGAGCTTGAAAGCTTATATTTTGTTAGTGATTTAATTGGATTAATTATGGAAAAATGTGTTTAAATTGTGGAATTTGAATTAATTCTTTCATAAATACCTTTTACGGGATTATGGATGTATTTTGCGTATTTTCAGGTTCAAACAAATATTTGAAGGGAAAAGAATGATGTCGATGGAATTCATGACGCATAGGAATAAATGGTACAAGAATCGAAGTTGAAACGAAAAAGTTGTGACACGTCGAAATTACAACATAAAATCTGAAAATCCTTCAAGATAAGCATGCTTCGATGTTTCTGTCATAACTTGAGTTGTAGATATCAGAATTCAACAATTTTGGTGGCGTTGGAAAGCTTATTTAGAGAGCTACAATGTTTGTGTTGACGACTTTACCAAATTCTGAAGATCACAAACTCATTGGATAGAAAGAACGATCATCGCAACGACTGTTCTTACCACCGCGACAATAGGTCACGGGCCTATTAGGCTAATGCATTATCCTAATCCGAATCTAAATGGGTTAAGGCATTTAACTTTTTCCTAAGTAAGATAAAAACCCTAGCACTATAAATAAGGGTCTTTAAGTAGTTTTTAGGGAGATTAGAGAAGGAGAAAAGGACGGCTACTATTTTGGAAATCGGAATTCTTGCAGTTCTCGTTCACCAATTAGAGAAGTGTTTTTATTTTTCTTTCTTAAACTCATGTTATTGAATACAATGATGGTTCTTATTATTGCAACTATGAACTAAATCTCTTTTCTAGGGCTAAAGATGTAGTCCAATTTATGAATATGTGTTGACGTTATCTTTATGGATTTCTTATTGAGCATTAATTCTAAGTTTATTACTGTGTGTAATGCTTTCAATTCTTAAGGATCCGAGGGTTGAATGATATCATAGGTTGGGTTGAGATCGAGAGATGAAACCTGATTTATCTAAGGTAATAAAACCATAGATTGAGCGAACGCTAGAGATAGGTAATCACGATCTGTGAGGCTCTGGTAAATTCTATAGAACATAATGATCTCTTAACTCCTAAATCCAACTTAAAGTTATTTTGGGTTGTTGCTTAAGGGTTAATTCGCTAATTGTTTGAGAGAAAGTTAGTGGAATATCAGGGAATTTGGCCTTTAGAATAAGCTTAATTAGGATAACAACAATTGTCAATGCATAAGATTAAATTGGTGTGAAATATGTGCCCTAGGTTTAGTCATATTGATCTTTACACCAAAGTACTTATAAAATTCTGCTTTTGTTTAGTTTTTAATTTGATTTCTTTTTCATTAAATTCATTCATAAAATTATATTTCATCAAATAGCAATAAAATAGACTAGTTTGGTACTTAGTAGGTAGTTCTCTTGGGATTCGACACTCGTTTACTCGAGCTTTATTACTTGCATGATTTCGTATACTTGCGAATAGCCTATCAATAAGAACTAACAAAATTCTAAGGCATAACATAAGTCATGAAAAAAAAATAAAACTACAGAAAATGGGCTCAGAACTCCCATTCCTGAAGCATGAACGACTATTTTTCTACCATTTAAGCTGTTCCAGGCATGAACGACACCATTCCACCAAGTGTTCATCATTCTGACCAAACTGAGAAAACTTCCAAACAAGTCATTTCATACAGAACGCCCCGTTCATGCAAGCCATTCATCATTATGTCAAAACTGGAGCCTTTTAAGATTTGAAGCGAAACCCCCGTTCCAAGAGAATGAACAATCGTTCGTCTGTCCTCCAAGTCGTTCCAAGAAAGAACGGCCTCGTTCCTTCAAGCCGTTCATCATTATATCCAAACAAAGAAAACTTTCAAGCAAGCCTTTTCGTTCAGAATGCCATTCATTCAAATCGTTCATTGTTCTGTCAAACCTGAAGCATTTGAAGATTTGAAGCGGAACACTCATTTCAAAATAATGAACGGTGTTCGTCGGTCCTCAAAGCCGTGCCAAGCAAGAACGACTCCGTTCTCTCAAGTCGTTCATCATTCTGCCAAGTTTGAAGAAATTGAAGATCAAGGATGGAATGCTCGTTCAAGTATTAAGAACGCTCGTTCCTAATATGCACAAGCAAATCCAAGTCAAAACGACCTCGATCCATCAAGCCGTTACTCATTTTGCCAAATTTTGGAAAATTGGAGGTTCGGAGTGGAACGCTCGTTCATCATGATGGAATGTCCATTTCTCAAGTCTTCAAGTCGTCTCAAGAAGTAACGTCATTGTTCCAACTGCTCGTTCATCATTCTGGAATTTTGGCAAAATTGTATATTCAAAGTGGAACAGTCGTTCCTAGATAATGAACGATCATTTTGAAGAATGGAACACCTGATGCCAAATCCATAATTCAAATTTTATGACCATTTGAGGCAGGAACACCCGTTCCTCTATGTTTCGCTACAAATGCTTACTTCTGCAAAATGGTTTTATATTGACTCCAAAATCTTCCCCAACTGCTCCATTTGACTCCAAATCATTTATGTAAAACCCTGTTCTAATTTCAATAATTATTGCATATATTTTTTTATGGTTTTGTTTATAAGAAGGGACTTTTTTTTTAGATTTGTAAATTTTTTTTAGGAGTAAAAACGAAATAATGAGAGTTACTAGGTTTGCATGTAACAAAAGGGAGAAAATAGTGCTCTTTGCAAGAAAAAGCTAACTTGGGGGGTGATAATCCTAGGATTATACTATTTTTCTGTACTTTTTGATAGGATTTTGGATACTTCTTAAGTCGTTTTGTGCCTGAATTGCAACTTAAATTCATATATTTTACATTTCAGGCCAAAACATGCAGTTGGAGTAAAACCAAGCAAAATTGAGTTTCTGGACCCAGAATCAAGAGAAATTTAGGAATCGGGGAAATTTTGATGCGTAGTGGAAGCACTATGAAGCTTGTTCCTATCGGAGATCATGAAAATCAAAGATTCAAGCAAAGAAGCAAGCGGAGGGCAGTTTCATAATTTCAGAATAGATGAGCATGCGGCGAAGATAATTCTCTGCCGCGGCAAGCTAGCCTCCGGTTAGATGGTTCGGCGAGATTTCAATTCGATGTCGCGGCGAAGTTTATTCTTTGCTGCGGCAAAAACTGCAATTCTTCTGTTTATTAAAACGTTGCGTTTTAAATGTATTGCATGAGAATCCTAGGTTTTTGGCCAACTATTTAAGAGAGCCTTAGCTCATTTTAGAGGGAGTTCAGATTTGGAGAGAATAAGAGGAAGAAATTGGAGGTTGGAGCAATTTTGGGTCTTCATATAGGGAAAATTCCATTCTCTTCTTACTGTTTTGGTATGTTGAATTCTTTACTTACAATTTATTGTCCGAATTTCTTAAATTTAAATATGAACTAATCCACTTTTGGGTTAGGGTTTTGACCTAACTTTGATTACAATGGTTTAATCTATTTTAGATGTTGTTTTTATGTTCTATTGCATTGGATTTTGTATTTATTCTTGTTCTTAATGAAATTGAATTAAATGTT